TACCTGTCTTTCAGACAACATGACCAAATCCAACTCCTTTCATCCAGCAAGATGCCTTTTAAACAGCTGTTAATCTCCAGCATAAGTTCATCAAGGTTTTGTGTTCAGAGTAGCTTGCAACTGGGAAAATTAAAGAGAAGGGGAAAAAAAAGAAGAAAAAAAAAGAAGATAAATTAAGTAAAATCCTATTTTTCTTTGTGTCTGCAATAGATTCAAAGTAGAAGACAGGGAACCTTGAGTGCTTCTTTGCATTCTGTTCTTTCCCTTGCTTCTGTGCTTTGGGGATAGGTAGACTTGAGTTAGTTAGACTTGTCTTTTCCATATTCCAGAATCACTGGCAAGCACTGCACAGGCCTGCTCCCAGACATTAGCCACCAGCTGAGAGAAAGGTTTAGGTGGGTGGGACTTGGAGAACCAAGACTTTCAGAGACCCTTGAGAAAATACAGTGTTGTGCAGCAAAAGACTCGATGGACAGGCCTGGGGAGCCAGAATTGAGATGTTAAATGAACTCTTAAATGGTTTGTCATTGCAGAAGTCAAGACAAGGTTTCTGTTGGTATCATGCAGATCAGGTAAATGTTTGTGAGATACAAATATCTTTTCACAGTAATATGAATAAAACTCAATAGAAAAAACAAAAAGGAACCTTAATGTCTGGCTTAACTGACTCCTAAGGTAGAGAACAGAGAAAAGGAGCTTGTTGCCAGATGTGATAGGAACTTGGGTTCTCTGAATTGCCCATTGGAGAAGCTTCTCTTTATCTGCTGATTATGTTATCTAATAAAAGAGAAAAACTTACCAGGCACAAAATTGGTATCCTAGCAAAATCTTAAAGCCATGGTTGCTTTCGTTAACTCTTGTTGTTAGGTTTGCCTGAGGCAGGATTGGCAACCATTTGGGATGGAATCCTCTGCTTAGGCCAGAAATAGCATCCTGCAGTTGCCATGAGGTGGCAAACATTCAGGAGCTGTTATTGATGCTTGCCCTATATAGATCACCTACAATGTTGCCTTGAGTCCAGAAGTTTTTAGAAGTGCTTCAAGGTAAAACAATGCCTGCGTAAACTGTCTGCTGCCTTGGGAGGGATCCAGCAACATTTAAATGCCTCTTGTGAGCTCTTTCTGAAGGTCACTGGGAGAGGAGAAGGCAGGAAAGGAGTATCCCAGTCAAGTACTGGCTAATTCAATCTGGTGATGATTCATCTTTCATGTCCCAGGGTGGCTTGATATTTCATGTATTTGTTACCTTTTATAGCAAGGCAAAATACGTAGAATTCAATTGTACAAATCACAATGACAGAACAATAGCTTAACAAAATCAAAACACACTTCTCACATAGCCTTATCAGCCTAGATGTTCTCCTGAAAATATCAGTAAAACCCAGAACCCTGGGTAGCTCTGTGCCCTGCTTTAATGGTCTTTGAAAGCCTAGTGAAAAAGCAAATAGGCCCTGTAGCAATTTCCAAAGACAGTGAATTCACTTTTTACCCTATATAGTAAAAAGAAGAGTCCTGCCCTGTGCCTAATGGGAGGCTTGTGACTGTTCAAAGAGCAGCTAGGTTAAACCACTGGTTGTGTGGCACAATGAGACACAGAAATCTTCAATTGAAGAATACCTTGGGAGCAGAAATGGGCACCAGCTGTACACGGGGTAATGGTCAATCAGCCAACTAAAGGGAATTTTGAAAGCTAGTCAGAAAAGCATTTTTTCACCCCTTACTGTAACAGTCTAGAACAATGAGGGGTCTACAGTAATTGGTATGTTGTTATGGCCTTCCTCTGAATCTTGCATCTTTTAAAATTAACAATTGATAAAGTTGTTAGTCTGTCAGAGATTTGGCCCCTCTAACATTCAAATGGAAATCTGTTCTTCGCTTATAAGTAAAGGAGACTTATTTGTGAGAAAAAGATTAAGAAATCTGTGTATTATTTTCCAGATCAACAGTTTTTCAGTATAGAGTAAAAAAACAACACAACAGTTTTTGTATCAGTATGGAGTAAAAGAAAAAACCACTCCCTAAACCTAAAGAAACAGTCTTAGTTGCACAGTGAGAACTGTGTGTACATCTGCATGTTTGTACAGACATGACATTTTTTATTCAAGCTCTTTTTTTTTCCCTTCCCTGTGTAGTCATTCCCTATCTCACACCTCTAGGCTGATAACTGGTGGCAGCAGTGGCTCATGGACCACTACACTTCATGATGTTATGGTGTGCTACCCTCCCTTAAAGCAGTTAAATCTCTAGATTTCATATTCTGTTGGCCTGGTAAGGAAAAGCAGCCAAAGCTGGTCAGGTTTTGTGCTGGGAGGCTGGTGCCTCATGGCTTCCATTGTTTCAGATATGGCACTATTTAAAAAAAATAAATAAATGAAAATCATCAAGCCTGTTGTTGCACCAGCAGTTGCTTTCACAGGTGTTTGTACTAAGTTTCAGTTTGCTGGTGTTGATTTGAGGTATTTTTTCCAGCGTTGAGGCCGGGTGGAGCCTTCACACAGACTGTAAGGTTTCTCCCACCAGTACTCCAGGGGGTGATTTTTTCTCCCCGCCGTGCCCTGCAGCACAGCCCGACGGGGGGATGCTGGAGGTGTCAAACCCCCACCTCGCCCTGCAGCAGTGCAGCTCAGAGAAACGAGGAGGAAACAGGATTTCCCCCAACAGGCAGCTGATTTTTCAGAAACGATACTTTGTAACGGGATGTGCAGCCGAGTTAAAACCGTAATTTATACTAATTGCCTGCGGAGTTCACGAATGTAGCAAGTGGGACTTGTAGATCCCCTCACTTGAGCACCAAGCTTTAGCTGCTTCCCATTTTCCCTTAGTATTTACTAGAAATGATGTTCTTGTTACCGTTGGTGCAGGGTGTGTTCTGGTAACTGCCAGACCAAGAAACCTGACCCGGTTGGTTTGTTACCAGCTTTACATGCTCTCCATCTTCTGGGAAAGCAGGAGAGTTTGTGTTTCCCTTCTGCTGCAGCCTCGGGGAGATGCCCGTGCAGGAGCTCAGCTCTTCAGATAAAAAGTTTCCCTCTTCACCTAAGAGCATCCGTGAGTGAAAGTATTGCAGCATATTTTAAAAGCTTTATCTGTCTGGAAAATTTCCAGACAGTCCCTTGCCTACCGATGTCATCCTCCTCCTCTCCCTCTCCCTTCTTAAATCTTCCCAAGCAGATGCATATCATTAATATTTCAGTATCAGCTGTACACAGGCATTGGCTCCACTGCAGCATACTTCAGCAATAAGAGCCAGCAAAGGCTGTGGGCTTTGCCACACTATCTTCGTCCAGCGGAGGAGTAAGAGCAAAGGCAGAGCCTGGCAGAGAAACCGTTTGCTGAGGATAAGGCTGCTCATTGCAGTCCAGCTCCTGAGGTGCTTTTTGCTGCTGTCCCTCGCTCAGGTTGCCCAGGTCATACAAAAACAAGGGACAAGAATGGATGTCTTTAAGAAAGGTTTCTCCATCGCTAAAGAAGGTGTGGTGGCTGCTGCAGAAAAGACCAAGCAGGGAGTGACGGAGGCTGCGGAGAAGACTAAAGAAGGGGTGATGTATGTAGGTAAGAGAGAACTGTTTTCAATCTATATTTGAACACTAATTGCTCTGCAGACTGTCTCTGGGAAAGTCTGGGGAAATTATATTGTGGCTACAGCTTGGGAATGAACAGCAGGAGGTCTGGAAAGCATCCTCCGCTCTGTCACAGAGTCACTATGTAAGCCCGGGGTGCCACATCCTCCCCGTGCCTCAGTTTCCCCAGCTGTATATTGGCCATAGAAAGGGCCAGAACTAACACAATGCTGGGGAGCAGATGCCCAGGCAGGTTTCTGTTATGACTGTTCACTGATGGTTGCAGGGTGAGTCACTTGCTCTCCAAGCATCTCAGCACTGCCGGTCTCTGCCTCACCTCCACGCTTCAGGAGACACACCAAGGAGGTCCCTGAGAGGAGCCAGCAGCATTATTAAGTGAGGATTTCAGGATGCATCTGTTTCCCCACCAACATCCCAATTTTTTATATGTAATTCCTCACATTTCTATTCAGTCATCTTCGTGCTGTGACCCAGTTTTAATCTTTGCACAGCCGTGAGGTGCTGTCTGCTCATGAGATTCTAACCTTTGCAATAGTGTTCTAAAAAGCCTTCTTAAAATATGAATCTATGAAAGAGGATCAAATAGGGATCAAGGTGAAAATAAAGTGCTTTCTCCTTCTATTCTTTGGTTGGTATATTGCCAATTCCTGCCCTGTCATGCACTGGATAGGGCTTTGCCTTGAGATTGACTCAATTCCTGTTGCATGAGGGGGGATGCTCAGCCCTTTAAGGAAAATTCTGTCTTTCACAGGCAGGAAAAGTAAAGGCCAGATGCTGATTAGCTCAGAGAATTGATTTTTAAATCAGCAGAGAATGTAAAGGCCACGTATATCGATTAAAACTAGAAGGATTAGTGTGTTGTTTGTGCTGCCTTTTCTCACTCTGTGCCACATGAAGGGTTAATCAGAGATCAGAACTGTTCCTTCCCTTCTCCTTCCTTTGCAGAGCCTTATCCCAGCAGCTTGGTCTAGAGCATTATGTGACACAATTAGAAATTTTGGAAGTTAGAAGAAAATAATACTTGTAGAGAAGCTTGAAGGTCTTTTCAAAACATCAGGAGAGGGAGGAAAATACCCAAAGCCTAAGATGGATGAAGTGGATCCCTGAGTTTTATTCAAGTTTGTGTTAACTCATTGCTGACTTTCTGAGGAGAATTCCAGATGTCTGGGCACAACCACCACATCTGGTGAGTCACTTGCTGCCACCCCAGGAGAAGAAAATGATGCTCTTTCACAGGCACCCCCCTGGAGCAGATGGAACCACCAGGGCACGGTGGCCACCTCACCCCTCCCATCTGAGCAGGTTCAGTTCTCACAGCCTGTGCCAGAGGTGGAGATGCCTCCTTCCCGTGCTAGCACTGCAATGCAGGTCACAGCTGGGCTGGGTAGAAGCACTGCTGTCCCCAGGGGAGTCACACATGTGGGGTGCTCCTGCCCTGCTCTGTGGCTGCCTGGAGGCGTAGGGTGGAAAAGAGAGAGAGAGAAATGCTGTAGCATGGACCAGCTCTGCACTTAATAAAAGGACAGTCTGCTCTCCAAGTTGTAACAGGCTGTGAGTACACCCAAGTGGCAGTGAATCCCCTCACAGTTCATGTGTATCCAGCAGTTGATTCAGTGGGCTGTCTTTTTGACTTGGTTTAAATAGGGGGCTAAGTAATGCTGAAGTTAATTCATGAAGTTAAGGCAAAGCTACATCAGAGTACTGAGTATAAGGTCATTAGTACTGTTTAATGCTATAATTCAGGAAGGCTCAACAAAGAATGCAATTCCAGTTTTCCAGAGCAGCTTTGAGCCATGTGTGTCCCAGAAAGCCCCAGTGCACCAAGCTCTGCCCCAACACAGTGACTCCAGCAGGAACCCTGGCAGGACATCATAATATTCTCTTCTACTGTAGACCTTTTACCACTGCACAGCACTCCACCACCTCAGCCCCACCCTGGTGATACCAAAGCTCTTACAGGTGACTCACAGCCCTCAGAAGAGGCAGCATAGATGAACTTTTAATTCTGCATACACAAGCTGCAGGCAAAGGACGAACGAGTGAAATGAGATTGAGCATCTGGGGATTGCTTTCTGATTCAACAAACGCAGGTTGCAGGCAAGGGCATGCGCCAGAAGGTCGCATTTCATGTGGTGCATAATGGATGCTGAGCCTGAGTCATGGGGTGTGGCCAGGGGACTGGGTTGGAAGGATGAGGCAAGCTCTGCCCAGGCTGCAGCAGTGGCACTTCCCAAAGTCATTGCATCCATTGGGAAACGGATCTGGGTGATTTTCTTTGATCTGCATGCCTCCTTTCTGGAATTATTTTCCATCAGAAAATATGGCATCCACCCACTTCCCTCACCCTGCAAAAGAACCAAGCCCAGATAGTCCTCTTAAATCAAAAGTTTGGTAAAAAAAGGCATCCAGAAGTACCACTTCACCTTTACTGCAAAACTGAAACATGTTGCAAGGCTCGTACAACACATTGTATACTTTGCTTACCTAACAACTGCTCTTTGACCAAAAAAACAGCAAAGAAAGGCTGAGCTTGTACATCTGTCTGATGTGAGGAGATCATGGATGTCGAATCAATGTTGTAGCAATCTTATATTGAGATGGCCCTGGGAGGGAAACTAAAGGAGGGTGGCATCTGAATTGAACCATGTGCATTTGACCCATTCAGGAGCTCATGTTCATGGCTTGAGACTTGCATCTGCTCTGCTCACTGCTGGGCTTCTGTGCCCATTTGCATAGCATGGGCTTCATTACTAAATCCAATCAACTGGATTCCAATCAACGCATCACTGGAATCACAGTTCACAGCAGTGACCAGTGTAAAAAAGTATGAGGATTTCATCTCTTCAGTTTTAACACAGTTCGGGAGGGCTCATGTTTATGGCTTGAGACTTGCATCTGCTCTGCTCACTGCTGGGCTTCTGTGCCCATTTGCATAGCATGGGCTTCATTACTAAATCCAATCAACTGTGCACACAGATGCATCACTAGAATCACAGTTCACAGCAGTAACCAGTGTAAAGTGTGAGGATTTCATCTCTTCAGTTTTAACACAGTTCGGGAGGGTGGAGTGAAATGTTCAGGGCATATTGTGGGAGAACAGCTTTGTTCTGCCCTAGGCAACTGTTATAACCACCAAAATAAGTCAACAATTGAGAATGACGTTCAATAACACATAACATATATCAGGCAGAACAGAGCTGGACTGAAGCTGTTGTTATCAGGGTGCTGCACCTGTTTTGCTTTTGAAGCTATTAATGTGAACAAAATGAAGTTTGTGGCTGATTTCTCCTACCACACCCATGAATGCTTCAGTACATCTGGAGTTAAAGATCTGCCTGGTTCTCTAGTTCTACCATTTTAACAGTTACCCATCAAAATCTCCTTGTTTTATCAGTACTGGAGACTTGAAAAGAGCCTGTACAGATGATTTACAAAATACAGCAACGCGGCACCAGTGGAACATTTTGGCACTTGTTTATTTAACTTCCAACAGAGATAAATTTGATCCTTTATTTTTCTAATATGAAAAAGCATCTAGTAACTGTGGGGCTGCCCACCCTTACCATATGATTTAGCATGCATGCTGCAGTACATGAATAGAAGGGATGTATAGTGGGTTACTTCAAACCTGGAGGAAAACTGCAGAGATTATTTATTCCTTAAGGGCTACATATGTTGCAAACTGAATGCCCTCACATCCTTTTTTTGCTTTTTTAGCTTTTTTTGCTTTGAGAACAGTGAGATAAATTACAATGTAAGCATGCATACGGTGTATTTTTGTAAACTGAGATAAAAACATCTGCTTTTGATGTATTACTGTGAGCAGGCACTTACAGCCTAGGCCGAGGCACTGAAATGGGAATCTAGTAAGTTTGTAGTGAGTGTTCTGTAAATTCAGCCTCAGGTTTCTCCAGAGTCTTTATTAGAGGTATAGAATGAAGGTTTAAATGACCACTGCAGCCAAGTATCCTGCTAAAAGGCAGGAGAGAGTCACAGATATGACTTCTTGTCTTGAAAGACTGAAGTAGGTGAGATTTTACTGGGTAATTTAATATACATTCTTTTTTACAATTGGCTTTACATTGATTTATCTCCACTCAACTCTTCTTTTCATTTTGGATATAATCTAGGGACAATTCTTCATACTTCAGCATGGTATAATCAAGACTTTTGAGGTCGAAGCATCTCTAGACAATTTGTGATAGAAGTTATCCAACTCCTGACACAAAGATACTCATTGTCTTTATTGAGAAAGGAAGTCAGTCCCTTCTGCTGGCTCTACAAATGGCTTGTACCTTGACAGGAGGTGCCTGCAGCATCACAGCTCCCCACTGCACCTTGCAAGAACAGAAGACCATCCATGTCCAGTAACCAGGGTGTTCTTTGCCCAGTAGCACTGATGGAATGTGTGTTTTCTTTCACAGGTACCAAAACCAAGGAAGGTGTAGTGCAAAGTGTTACCTCAGGTAAGAGCACAGCCCTGGAAGATATGTGGAAATCCATTATGGGTCTCTGGACCTCTTGATAAGGCCATTGCTCCTGCCAAATGGAAAGTCCCTGTGGGACACCACAGATCTCCTGTTTGATGAATGGAGAATGCTTGCCAGGAGTGATGGTTCAGGGTCTGGTGTTTGCAGTGCATGTGGATGGGAGAAAATATTTAATCAGTAGGGCAGGTCAAAGAAATCTAACAATTGTTACTTGGCAGTCTCAGATGGTTCACAGCAATTTAGATGTTTCACAATGTCAGGAGTGCTGCAGAGAGGATTCACTCACATCGGATCCTCTCCGGCCAAAATTGTGGTCTTTTGGAGACTCCTGTCAGACAGCCACAGAGTCAGGGACCATAAGGGATCTTTCTAGGTATCCTAAGGTGCAAGGCAGGGCAGCTGCATGGACTGCCCTGAAGAAAGATGAATGGATCCTTGCCCTGGAGAATTTCATGAGGGTTACGTTTCTCTACCCAGGTGTACTAAAGCAGACAGAAGGTACCCAGGGAAAGGTTGTATGTAGCCTGCAATGCAAAATACCTTATTTGCACAATGGTCTTTTAGCATCTTTCATTCTCCAGTTGCCCACAACGACTGACAGGCTGCAAAGCTGCTCTCTGAGCCCAATTTTGAGTCAGACAAAACCTTCACACACACTGTCAAATTCAGATGTGAGCTCATATAAAATGATCTAAGGACTGTACTAGGGCCAATTTTTTCTCTTACAGAAGGGACCCAGGGAAAGGTTGTATGTAGCCTGCAATGCAAAATACCTTATTTGCACAATGGTCTTTTAGCATCTTTCATTCTCCTGTTGCCCACAACGACTGACAGGCTGCAAAGCTGCTCTCTGAGCCCAATTTTGAGTCAGACAAAACCTTCACATACACTGTCAAATTTAGATGTGCGCTCATCATATAAAATGATCCAAATAAGGACTGTACTAGGGCCAATTTCTTCTCTTACCTCAAGGCAATCCTTTTATTGTCCCAGGGAATTTGGCAGCCTTTTGGAAATGCCTAGCTCGTTGATACTCTGCTTTTCTTGAAATCCTAGTTGCTGAGAAGACCAAAGAGCAGGCCAACGTGGTGGGAGAAGCTGTGGTAGCCAGTGTGAACACAGTGGCAAACAAGACTGTAGAAGGAGCAGAGAACATTGTGGCCACTACAGGAGTTGTGAAAAAGGTATGTTTTGCTTGTTGCTTCGGTGATGTGAGGGATGGAGGAGTTGCCTTTGGATTACACTTAAAGTATCTGCAAACACGTGCAGTTTATGGGTTTCCCTATTCAACGAGAGGTTTTTCAGCAATACCTGCTTTTATATAATGCTCAGTATCGTTGTGTAATGCCTGGTTTTGAAAGAACCACTCGAGATGCACAAGCAGCAGAGGGCAGCAGCCATTCAAGCAAAGCCCCGGGAGGGCCTGACCCTCCTGCTGCCTTGGGGCTGGTTGTGACAACCACCAAGCACTTGTTGATGAAGTCCTCGTGATCCTGCACGGATTCAAGCCAGATTCAGACAAGATGTCTTCTGTTCTCCAGCCTAATTTGACAAACTGGGTTGCTTCAAGTGGGGGGATTAAGGGGCATGGGAAGGAGCAGAACGGCTCCCTCCATGAAGGCAAAGTTGCATCATTAGAGAAAATGCTCTCACCAGGTGGTAACAAACAGCGACCACTTATACAGTCCATGAGGCTGATATTTGGCAGCTCTTTGCTCATCCTGGCTGTGTTTCCCCTCTTCAGAAAGCTGTGGTCAATGGCGTTGGTAGCAACATGAGCTAGACGAGTCACAAGCAGCTCAAATCCAGAATCAAAGCAAAGAGAGGCCAGCCAAAATTGTTTTAATTGTTGAGACAGTTGGCTGATTAATTTCCTGACCTGCACGTAAACACATTGTGATGTGAAACAAAACTTCTACACATCATATAAATCCTGAGAGAATAGGCTAACAAAAGAGAATGCCAGCTATGAATGACGCAAAATGTCCTCCTGAAAGCACGTGAAAAGGGCAGATACAGAAGTTCTGCTAAGCCCCTGGGATAAGATTAATCTCTACTCCCATAGGGAACAGCGGTTAGGCTGCAGGAGTGCAAACAGTGACTCCTAATTCCATGGGGCCAGGCTACCCCCTCCTACCTTTTGACTGTCCGGGCACAGGGTGGTTGACCCAGGGGAGCTAGGAATTTGCTGACAGCAGGAATCTATCCTGCAGATACTGAATTGTCTCCCCTTCTGGCAAGGACTGAGCAGCAGCAACCCTCTTCCCCTGGCATCCTAAGTGAGAGCACCCCCTCCTCCCCTCCCCAAAGACTGATGAGCTACCACTTAACAAGTGTTAATTTCAGAGGTCCAATGAGTCGATGTCACTTGTTTCCATCCTTGTGCAGATAGTCCTTGAGAAAATCAGTGACTCCTTCACCCTAGTAATTGTTCTGTGTTATACAGACTACAGGCAACATAGAAAAACTGTGAGTATTCCAGAGGATTAAAGCATTGAGCATCTGAACTGTCATTTTGGCATCTTCCATTGATGTCTGCCCGCTTAGAGTTAAAATAGGGATCAATCAAGAGACAGAAAAGTGTGATGTGTCACGTGCCAAAGGACAGACTGCTTTGGATATAGCATCATGGTGTTGTGCCAAACAGCAGAAGTGGTACACAGAATGAAAGTGGGAGGAGAAAAGCAAGGCAAAGGAAGTCACAGGAGAAATAAATTCAGGGGGAAAAGAAATGTTTGTTTCTGTAAAAGAGAGGAGTGATCTACTCTACTGGTTTAGTCCAGCTTAGATTAGGAGTGTGAATCTTGTAGTCATCCTCTCTCCCCATACTTCAGTTGCACCTGCTAGATACCCTTTGGAGAGCAATGACAGGGCAGACTGAGCTCCGTGTGCACACCAAGCACATCCCTGCTGGCAATGGTTAATTGAGGGCCCTGAAAGGAGCAGAGAGGTTGTGCTGGGCTCTTAGCACAGCTCTTTTCTCTCCAGCCCTGCCCCTATTGTGCTGCATGGTTTGCTAATGGAAATACAGCCAGAGGCTGCCAAGAGCAGCACCAGGCACTGCAATGCATGAGACCCCCACTGGAGGTACTGTAAGAATAGTGATAAGGTATAGCAGATAGATGTTTAAAAAATAAATACCTACTGTGATAAGCTTGCAATCTGAGAATAAGACACAAGTGTTTCAGCTCCTGAAGGTTGAGAGCTGTTACATGTAGTCCTGAGACTTGTTCATGCTCCATCCTGTCCTCCCTCCTAATTGCAAGGAGGAGTTAGTGGTAAATTTTAGAAAAAAAAAAAGTCTTTTTTCAACTATTGTTCCCTGCTGACTTGGTAGAGGTACCTGGGCATCTGAGTGAATACATGGCACTGAGCAGAGCTATGTGATGTCTCAATTTGGGGGCGGGGGGAAGGGGGGGAGCAGTTGAGTGTCCTAGGAGGCATGTCCCCAGCTCAGCCTTCCTAGTATTAATATCAATTACAGAGAGCCTGTTGACATTTAATCTGTGCATCTGGCAGCTGGGATCAGTGGCAGGCACATGCTAGTGAGGGATGGAGAACTTGAAGGATTCTGGATTAAATTTTGCTTAGGGCAGCAGCCGTGGGGTGGTTGAGCCCTGTGACTGTCTCGGGTGGTGACTGGCCATGGGGAAGAATTCTGCCCTTCACAGAACATGGCAGGCACAGAATTGTGGACAAACGTGAGGCAGTTGGCACACCACTGTTCCTTGCTGTCCTCGATGGAGCACTCAGAACCAGGCAGAAGGAAACGTGGCTGAGGTAACTACCCCTATGGAGGGGTGCCCAGCACCACATGAGAGCAACCTCAAGTAGCGTTGGCATCAGCTTGTAGGATTTTGGCACAGGCCTGGTCACTGCTAACAGAGTACAAGAAAGTATCAACTGATTAGGAGGAGTCTTTAAGTATCAACTAAAAAGTAGCTAAGTTAGAATATTACAAACTCCACAGTTTTTCTGTAAAGGAATGAGACCCATCAGTAATGTGTTTTGTCTGTTGCTCCGCACCCATCCTAGTCCCTGGGGTGGACAATGATGGATTGCAGTGAGATAACCACACACTAAATATCCCTGTCTTAGAAGAGGTTTAATGCTCCATCTGTGTGACACAGCACAAAGTTTGCTGCATTGCAGACACCACATGATTGGGAACAGGCACATATATGTATATACAATATATACAAGCACACACACTCACAAAACATCCCTCCCGTGGGAACTAGAAGAATTTCTCCAGTAGCTAGTGCTTCCCTCCACCTAGATCTGCCCTTTAGATCTATTTGCCCTGCCAGTTTTTGTACGGTTTAGTTGTCAGTTTGTGGCTCTGTCATTTTGAGTTAGGTTTGATCTTTGTTTATTTCACTCCATTAATTACTTGAGCTGTTGATGGTTGGGTGCAACCGCTGGGTGCGTTCGTTGGGTCTGCGCTTGACGTAGCACACGTGTACCCCATCTGCACCCCAGCTTCCTGCTCTCCTAACCACTGCACATCTTGAATACGAGCAGAAGTTGATGTTTATGGCCTTAATTCTGTTCACTTAAATCATGTGACGCCACCAAGACGGTCACACCAAAGGAATTAGGAGTAGAAACTGATGAGTGGCCTCCCTGTTAAAGTTCGTTTGGGCAGGGAAAACATCACCAGGAGAGTGCAACCAAGGGCATCTAAGAGGCCAATGACAGCAGAGCTGCTAAGAAGGAGAAGGAGGGAAATCAAAAGCCAAACTACCTTACAACTGAGTAGAATAACTAGTCTGAACTCATCCCTGTTGTATTCAGGCTTCACTGTACTTCACTGATGCAGCGGTGCATCCTCGTGGTAAACTTCATTGCCCCATGGAGCAGGGGAGACTTCAAAAGCCATATGGTGTGGGGCACTCTGGCTACAGGCACTATCTCTGTGCTTCCCTCTCAGCCTCATCATTGCATCCAGATGTAGATTTTTTACATGCAAAATAGCTGAGTTAGTGGCACTGGTGCAGCCCTAAAGTCTACAAGACTGTGTGCGCTTCGTGGCTAAAGGCTGTGCCCTTGTAATTCTGTAGGATAATAAAGCAATCATTATTAAATATGTATTATTTGCATAAGCAGCCCCAGGAAACCCTAAGAGAGTCTGGCTGTGAGCTGGATGCAAACACATCTACCCCAAGAGTCCATCTGGATTTGCAGGGAGGATGGGAACTCTGCACACCCATCGGCCTGTGCTGTTGGTGGGTCCACTCACTTCAATCCCAGGCTGACCTCTCAGAGCTGTCAGCATCCCTCTGAGCACATTCAGTCTGAAACCCATCCAGGACACCCCATCCATAGGACTTTTCAGGTTGCCTGAGGGTTTACAAGGGAGTGGTTTGGGGATGCTGCCAAATACCATTGCTTTTGCTCCCACACCCAAGGTCAAGAGCAGTAACAGGAGTCTGACCCGTTCTCCACCTTATGCAATTGATGTCTCATTGTGGGCTGTTAAATTTGTAGCACAGTAGGTTACCAGTGAACCCCTCTGCTTTTACACCCCCAAAATAATAGCAATTAAAAAAGAAATCTTGCTTGCCACTGAATTAGTTGAATTTTTGATGAGTAATGTTCCACATCCAACATTTAGACTTTGCATGTTTTCCCTGTTAGATAAGGGAGATAATGCTGCTAAGGTTGTTTATCTCAGAATTTTTGGGGATGGAAAAAAAAAAAACAAACAAAAAACAAACCTGTCACTGTCCTATAGCATAATATGGATAAAAATATAAATTCTATTTCATGTATGGACTCAGCCAGTGTAACGTACAACAGTCACTTAGCTGAAAAAAGGAATTTCATAGAACCTGTGGAATAAAGAAATCTGAAGAATCAAATTGTAATCAATTATTTTTGCAAAAAGTGTGGACTTGAAAACTCTACTGTTAAAAAACACATTAAAATATCTGTACCCAGAAGCCTATAGTGTGCTCTGTTTAAGACCTCTTAACATTGCACAGGAATATTTTTATAAATAGCAGGTCCTAATTTGTTGAGTTTTTCATTAGTGCTATCCAAACATGTAACTATGTTTCATAACCTTAGTGAAATATTGTATTTTATATATATATAAATCTTCTATAGTGCACATATGTGATATACAAATCTATTTATATACATAAAATACTTTAAAAGTTGTACACCATTCCTGTAATGAATTCTAAGGTCTTGTTTTTCACTTAACTATTACGTTAACCTACTTCATTTTTCTCCTCTCTAACCAAAAAGTCTCAACCTCCCCCACAACAACAGAAGAAAACAGCCCATAACAAATTAAGTCAGGGGATTTTTATTTCTTTTTTTCAGTTTAAATACTTTTTCTAAGACAATACATAATTTTTGAAGGAAAATAAAATCTGCGTGCTGTTTAAGAGCAGCAGGAGTGTTGCTAATTACTTCATGGTTGGAACATGCCTTTTCTTAGAATGTTTTATCCCTTTTAATCAGGAGGTGGACACTGAAAAAGAACAGCAAAGTTCTTGGTATTCCCTAGAGAAGCTAAATTTTCACCCCTGCTTCCTTGCCCAGCACCATACTGTGAGTCAACGTTATAGCTGGGATCAGCACCTAGGAATTTCTGGCTCTTCATCTGAAGTGAAGACTCTTCTATCACGTGGTCCTCCTGTATATTTTTTTCCTGCCCAGTCATGAAGTCCCCACCCAGCTGAGGCACGCAGCTCTTCCTCATCCCAGCCTTGTTATTCTGGGCGTGAGAAAAGGGCTGTGAGGCGCCGTCCCGAACGTGTGTGGCCTGACACCTCCTCATCCTGCCATTGTGCTGGTTCCTCCACCACAGCTTAGACACACTCTCCAGAAACGTGGTCAATTCCCTTTCTAAAAAAAGGTGGATGAGTCACTTTTGTCCTTCAGGAGCAGAGTCTTGGCAGAGAGCACGATTTAAGGGATATAATAAGCAGCACAATAGCTGAACAGGGATTCTTCAGCCCACCTATAGCTCTTGGATGCAGTATCCTGAGGAAGGGATCCCCTTTTTCATGACTGTTTCCACATCTGCCAGAGCTGAGCTCCCCACTCAAAGGAAGAGTTAGATGGGCATGTCCTGTAGAAAGATGGGGTGCTCTGCACTTGCCCTTGAGTTCCTATGATTTATCCCCCAGATTTGCCAATGCAGCTTAGTGCCTGAGGCAGTTGCCTTTGGTTCACCTTCACAATTTCATGTAACAGCTGGTAACTCTAACTTTAAAAGACTTATGAAGCACCTGCTGTTGCAGCTAATGTCATTAGCTGGCATTGCAGGTTTCTTTTCTTTCCACCTAAAAGTCAAAACAACCTGCTTGTAAAGTTTCAAAATACAATTTGAGGCTGTTTACCTGCTCTGACCTGATGTGCACTGCTGAGTTATAAGGTGCAGGTTTTTTTATATGGCCCTATACACATTTAAAGTGTTTTAAAGCCACAGAGTGGATCCTGAGGCTGAACTAGTCTCCATAAATTCAGAGTAGTGAGCTCTGTTTGCTGACAACAGGAGAGTGCAATCCAATTGCCAGCATAAATTTTCATGGGTTCTGCTTTATATCTATGTATCTTTGTGAAAAATGCCTATTTTCCCTTTTTATTTACTTTTTAATTTCTAATTCAGTCCCCAAAGCAGTAAGGGTGTTCTCCTACAGATGAGAACATTTGTGACTGGACAGGAAAATAAGAACATGAGTGAAAAGGAAGAGTGGAGTCCCCCAAAACACATGGAGCACAAAGTTCTGTTTGCAGTAGGGTTGACAGGGACATTTGATTTGCACTGCATCAGCAGCAGTACCAGGGAAAGTGATGGCCTTGTGTTTCCAAAATGTTGACATTCAGAAGAACTATCTCCCTTCTGTGCAAGATTGACTCTCCCTTTATCTAACATATGTGTCCCAGGTTCTTTCTGTGGTGACCCTGACTTCACGTGGGAAAACAGAGTGAAAATTCAGGGACGCTGCTGGGTGTTTGCTCAGAGGGAACAGAGAAGCTTTGTAATTCCAGCAGTTTCCTGGTGATTTGGGGCTGGACTCTAGAGGTCCTGCTATTTCTGCTTCCCCCTGCCCTTACCAGTGGATTCCACACAGGTGCATTGCTGCTTTCTGTCCATCCCCTGTGCACATCCAGTACAGTTTTGTCTTCTCTTCCCACGTGGCCAAATCCCATTTAAAGAAATTGCCTGGTAATATATAATCTTTCCTCTTCTTCTTTGAGTAAGATGGTAGCTGAAAGATGTGGGGAAGTAGCGAAAGAGCCCAAAGTGCTTATGGAAATGTTCAGACTTCAAATACAGAGAAAAGCTTATCCTTGGATAATGGCATTTTATCTGAGGCATGACACTAACACCACCAAATATTGCTATATGTGAAATTAGTATTAATCTAGGCAATGAGTGCTTAGGGTAAGTAAGATACTGTGGGAAAAGATGAGGCACAATCCATCTTAGCCTAGGGAAATTTATTTGTTCCTCACAAATTTCTTCCTACCAAAGGAGTCAAAGCTCTGATCTCGGTGACAGGAAAGAAAACTTTAGAAAAATAACTGATTTTCTGTATGAAAATGGCCCTAAACTGGCTGTAAGAAATGGAATTGCTTTTCCACAGACAGGTACTCTAACAAGATGCGGAAAAAATGGATTTTGGGCTGTATTTGCCATCTGTTAATGTCAGTATTTCACTTGCTTGTGTAATGCTTGAAGCCGTTTCACGCCGTCTGCTCAAACAGGCTGTGTAAGATCAGGGCGATGACTCTGCAGCTGGCAGTGAGGACAAACATCTCTCTTGTGACTTGGCAGGAGGACCTGGCTGTGCCGCAGCCGCCCGAGCAGCCGGGGGCGGCAGGAGAGGGGGCGCCGGCAGCAGGCACAGGAGGTGGAGGAGAGGTAAGGTGCTGCTGGGACCCTGACTTCCCCAGAGGTCTGAGTCACAGCAGGAGTGTGTCTGCTTTACAGAAGGAATGGATAATTCCTTTGTTTTCTGCACCACGTGGGATCCTCGTTGCTTTGTAGCTGTTTATGGGGGGTTTACGTGGTGACTACCAGCCCTGATTTTTCTCCTGGTTTAATTTAGATATGTTTTCCATGGGAAATGTTTAACTGTTTACCTGTCTGTCTTCTCTCACAGGGTGAAAATGAAGGCAATTAATCCACTTAAGGACTTCTAACTCCAAAGAGAGCATTCCAAGAGCATACATGGAAATATTAGCTGATACCACAACAGGAAAATCCTGCTCTCCATAGGCTAACTACATTCAGCTCTGTAGTCTTTCACCTGCCTCATAAACCAGTCGTACAATATCTGTAAGCCAGACTCCTCTGATTGTAAGGTACAGGCATGTGCTGAGGTGCATTCCTCCCTCCCCACCTCTCCCGTGGCTTCCCGACCCGCTCCCTCTGCGTGTCCTGGTCGGACTCACTGATCTGTGTCTTGCCTCCATCTGAGCTGGCACTCTGGAGCTTTAGGTATCCTGGAAATACTTTTTTTTTTTTTAACAAATAAAAAAATGTGTTTGAACAATTTTTTGTTGGTTTGTTTTGTCAGTTTTATTTGTACCTTTTAGGTGTTGATTCTTCCAGACTGATGAACTCTGTAAAAGTGTGGTGTTAAAACACAAGGGCCTCAGAATTATAAGGGTCTTAAATCGTGATGTAGAATATGGGGAACGATCAAGAATTGTTTTTCTGAAGTCAACAACATAGCTAGACCTGCTTTCTGTCTCTCAGGGCTGAAAAATAGAGATTTTGCTTTTTAAATACTCCTCTGTGTTTAAGACAGTGTAGGGAGGAACTGGAAAACAAGAGGCTTTTTAAAGCACCACGAATGTCATGTTGAGCTTGGTTAGCATTTGTTCTTTGCTGTTTATTCAGCACACACCAGAGCTTGAACACTATCCTGACATCTGGGTGTAACCAACGGCTAGAAAGTAATTAAAGAAACGTGATAAGCACTGACCAATTAGCTCAGAACTGCATTACTGCTGGCAGAGACAGGCAGCACTGCTGTGAAATCTGAGTCAAATGAGAGATGCCAGAGGAGAGTTGTGGGTGCAACATGAACACTGGGGCTGGTGTTGGTTACAGCAGCTGGTCAGCCTGCAGATAAGCTGCTGAGGGAGAGCAGCAGAGACCTTCTGTGTCCACAGATGTAGAGAATGGGCAAACTCATTACATGCCTATAGGTGTAAATAACAAAGGGTGAGTTAAAACATGTCAGTAAATACTGTGTGGAAAATGCCATTGCCAGAGGTCTATGTTCCAATAGGAGACAGAGGAGTCCTGTAAAATAGACTTTATTTGAATAAAGGGAGAGTCCACGGGCAGATCCCAGTGGGGTCTCTCAGTTTTTCTGGGGGTCACAGCCCCCTTTTTATCCTAATTTCCCAGGTGCAAATTTCCCTCCTCTTTTCCCCCTCTTTTCCCCATTGGCTGAGGTCCTCGGAGTGTACAGACTGCCCGCTCTGCCTACTACATATCCCCCTCAACATGTACCCCTCTTCTCATCATTGTTTCATTAACTTCATTTTATGCCTCCCCTGGGAGGAGAAGGAACTATTTATAAGTTCATTAATCATGCTACTAGTTCCCAAAGTTCAGAGGTTTAGGCTATGGAAATGTCTTGAGGTAGATATCTAGGTTTGTTTAAATTCATTCAAGTCCTCAGGTTCTTCTTGCTTGGTTCTTTTTGTATGGAAAGTGGCCAGACTATCACCTTGGAGCACTGGTGGTTGTCTCTCTCCACACAGTGTTTTCCCCCCACTCCCTCCTGTGAAGACACATTCCATTCTTTATCCTATCAATATGGATCTAAAAATGGGGTCTCTTATACTTCCAGAGAGCACACCCACAAACCCAGAAGAAGCCAATGGAAGCTGTAGAGATCTAGGGTGCTTCAGACATCTTCATTAAGGTGCATAATGATAATGAATACAGAAGGCATTACAAGAATACCACATTGCTGTGGCATGGAAGGACCTAGCGAGTGTGATATCAGGCTCACTCATGCACTAACAGTACATGTAAAGCTTTGTCTTGGGAAGGGCACAGGATTTCCATCCAGAATGGATGTTTGATCTCAACAAAAATGGGAACAAAAGAGCCCTAGCAGAGAGATAACAAGGTCTTTCAAAGGAAGTGGTGTCTGATATGCGCATACTCTTTTCTGATGTCCTGCAAAACATCTGCAGAACTTGCCAATTAAACTGAATAACTAAAATTGAGGCCAAGGTAAAGGGTATAGAGGGCCCGTGATGCTCATGCCCAGCAGCAGGAGGCTGGAGCCTATTAGTGGTGCTTGCTAGAGAGTGACAGGGAAAAACCTCTCTGCTCCAAAGCTTTGTTTTTTGGGGATAGATAGCAAAAGAAGTGCTCTGGCAGCCAGTGGGGAGGAGGGAGTGAGTGCCTTCACCAGCTACAGCCTGTGTGGGAGGCAGGAGAAGGCATCAGCTGGGCCAGGCAGAGCAAGCCACTTCCCAAATGCCTGTGTCTGGTTCAGAACGATTTAAACAAGGAGACACAAGTGCTGAGGCAGTGCAAGCATGAGAAGGCATCAGCTGGGCCAGGCAGAGTAAGCCACTTCCCAAATACCTGTGTCTTGAGCAGGCTTTGCCACTGGTCCAGAATGATTTAAACAAGGAGACAATTACAAGTGCTGAGGCAGTGCAAGCACACTGCTCTGGTGCTGAGCTGTGTAGCTGCTCTGTGGTGCTGAGCTGTGTAGCTGCTGAGGAGAGAGGCTTGCAGCACTCCACATCCATACACTGTGCTGCAGCACCTTCCCCGTGGGAAGGGAAGGAGTTAGTTGGTATTTACACACCTCTGTCTGGAGCTGTGAGCCGAAACACTGCTTGACTATGGGCACCAAAAGTGTTTGAATGTATCCTAAAGCTCTGCCTCTGAGCACTGCTCCACGCCCGGGCTGCACAAGGGTTCAGCACTTCCCTGCTTAGGTCTGGTCTAGTCCTGCTGGTGTTGCAGCTTGGAGGAGTCTTTTGATGAATCTGGCACAAGGCAATCACAAGACAGAGCTCAGGCTGTGTGGTTTCCTCCCACGTGGGCATCCCCCATCAAGTGAGGAGGGAAGGGTGGTGCTGTGCCCAGGCATGGCTTGGGGAGCCTGCTCCTCCTCCCCTCGCTTCCCCCACCCACAGAGAGCAGAGGTGCCAGTCTGAGCAGCCTCTGTCAGAGCCAAGAAAGGGCAATGCTTGGTCCTCCTCAAGTAGATGGGTCTGGCATAAAAGAGCCAAAAGAATCTCTCTTCAGCTCTGTTGTAGGTCTGTCTGGTTCACTGCATGGAGAAGTCTGTGCTTCTACTGAGCATACGCTTGGTCCTCCTCAAGTAGATGGGTCTGGCATAAAAGAGCCAAAAGAATCTCTCTTCAGCTCTGTCTGTCTGGTTCACTGCATGGAGAAGAAGTCTGTGCTTCTAATGAGCATACAGACACACCTAGTGAGAGGTGATGGAAGGAAACTGAAAAGTAGAAGGACTGAAGAGACACATCAGAAGACATCTGGTGGCAGCAGGCAGGGGAAGTGCCAGGAATACCCCCACCCCAGGTAAAAGCTGCTGGAGGCCAGCCCTAGCTAAATAATGTTTGGCTGACATGGTCTTTGCAATCAGGAATTTCCTTTTACACACCTCACACTGTGAATTATCAAAGTGGACCTTGTATGTGATGCCATTCTTGTAAAAGCTGTTAAATGAGTCCCACTGGGATGAGACCATGCTTGGTGCAGAGCAAGGCAGTCTGTCCTTGGTGACCTGACTCTGAAGGATCATGCTCCAACCTCCATGGTGACTCAACAAGCCAGAAACAGCCGCTGCCAAGTGTTGCCTCAACTTTACCATACAACTGACCAACAAAACAATGAAATACTTTTCTTTTTCCCCTTATAACAGCAAACCTTACTTACCACATAAAACTGCAGTTAAACTTAATAAAGTGGTTTGTTCTGATACAGTTCATAGCCTTTGAGAGCTCTTCCCACATTTTAGCTAAGGACTAAAGGGCACGCAGGGCCTGATGTTTGGGTCACAGAAGAGAAAGCCTTAGCTCCCTCCAGCACATCTCAACATGCATTCCCCTAATTTAAATGCAAATCAGGTAATAATACACTTCCTAAAGTACCACTTCATCTGAAATTCCTATTTTCACATCTGCATAATGCATGTCCTAAAACTGAACACAAAGAGTACCTGATTAAAAACGGAAGGTCTGGTTTTTTAATACTGTTCTCTATAAATAACCACACATCCTCCTCACTCTGACAGGTTTTTCCATATTGAAACATCATTTATTTTGTCTCACGAGTGCATCAAAACCCCACACGAAGATACTCCATACTGTTGATAGCATATCAGAAAAAAAAACTCAGATTAAAGTTTAGTTTTCTGAACATCAGACAAAACCCTGCCTCTGCAAGTTTGCACAGCTCTGTTGGCAGCACGAGTTTCCTCTGGCACTGCATTTTTTTGCTGTGAATTCCTGCATGGGAGGGGAGCAAGCTTGGTAGCTCTGCTTCTCCACCTTTCTTTTCCTTTCTAAGCCCTGAGCCTCGGGTGGGGCGGGCTCCACTCCACCACAGCTGAGTGGGGTAGGAGCTCCTTCCTCTCAGTGCTTCTAGAAACAGATCCACAGTAATTCTCCTGTTGTCCTCACCCCTGGCTTAAATCCCAGCTCACACCCTCAGCTTTCCTAGCCACCCCTGGGATAGCACCGATTTCTTTCTCTAGCCCTGAGCCAGTTCATAAGGTGGTCAAGCCTTTCTCATCTTTGTAACTCTTATAATTTAAAGACCAGATAATTTTTCCCCTTAATGCTCAAGCTGCATGATATCATGAGACTCTGAAAAAATCCCAGCATTTAAGCATGGTTTTAGTCTTCAGCACTCCAGAAGATGGCAGGAGCTGGACAATTTACCTAGATGATGCCTGAAGATTCAGAGATAAGAAGGTAAAGAAATCCATACATACTGGCCTTATTTTGATCTCCTCTAATTAACCCCATTTTCATGTGTAAAACATAAGCTCTAGCTCTAATCAATTACCTCTCATCTTCATCAGATAATAAAACCAGAAAGGTTCCTGTTACTGATACAAGAGACAGGGCTCAGAGATGCCACAGGAGAGATGTGAAAGGAACAGAAATCAGAGCAATTTCTAATTTCCCTGCAGTACCTTAGATTTAACTCATAGCTATTTGGGCTACCTGTTTAGGATTGCAAACTGGCTCCAGAGTGAGCTGTGGCTCACAGAGCCCTCCTAGTAATTAAGGAATTTGTTTGGGGGTTTCTTCCTCTCCAAACAGTCTGTTGCCACTGTTCATCAATGGCAACAGACTGAGAGGGAGCAGAACGTGGAGGAAAAGCCTGAGGAACCAGGCACAGGAGAAGGATGTTGGTGAGACCTGTTACCTGCTGGAGGTGAGCAAACAGTGCTGCTGGGGATCCTGACACTTCTCACAGCTTGCTTCTGGCCAAGTAGTGTCCATGGTGAGCCCCAGTGTTACCAGGTGGAGTAACTTTTGGAATAGCCTGAAGTTTCACAGGTACTTGGGCATGTGGCTTTACTTGCACACCAGGGTGCCTACCCCAGCTGGCATTAACCAGCATTTCTGTCTGCAGCCTCAGCAGAGACAAATTGCTGAATGGAGCAAGAGTTCAAACTAACTTTCCACCTGTAGGTGGTTTGAGTTGACCTTAGGACACACCAAGGATGTAATTAAAGATCAAGAAACCCATTTGGAAAGACATTCATAGGAGGAATTACTGTAGATGCACTTAGAGGTTGGAGCTTTGGGTGAATACTGTGGAGATATCAGGAGACAAGGAGCACACAGGGTGTAGTGTTTTGTCATTTAGCTTTTAAAATGCTTTATAATATCCTGCCCCACCCCTATCTTGTCATGAGACAACATGGTTGAGAGCTGACAATGGTGAAATGAACAATCCCACAGTACTTGCCAGCTGGGTCTACCATGCAATAGTTAAATCTGGTGAATACTGTGGGGACATCAGGAGACAAGGAGCACACAGGCTGTAGTGTTTTGTCATTTAGCTTTCAAAATGCTTCATAATATCCTGCCCCACCCCTATCTTGTCATGAGACAACATGGTTGAGAGCTGACAATGGTGAAATGAACAATCCCACAGTACTTGCCAGCTAGGTCTACCATGTGATGGTTAAATCTCTGACAAGTGTGACAGACTATCAAAGAGCACACAAAAGAGTCAAAGCAAAGACTGGGATCCATGTTCTTAAAGCAGCTCGTTGTTTTCACCCAGGTGCTCAGGTGGAAGAGTGCACAGACACAGTGCTGCAGCAGATGACTGCACATTTGAAAGCCAACTGTCTTGAAAATGAAGCCAGAGGTCCTGCAGGGCAGCCAGAAGTGCATTGAACTCCAGCTGCAGTCGTGGGAAAGGCCAGTGGCCAGTGCCCAGCCATCTGGTTAGTCAGGAGCTCAAACAGTTCCCAGGACATTTGTCAGAGCCCCAGGGAAGCCCATCACCAACACTTCTGTGCACACATACCTGGTATCAAGAGGTGTTTGTAGTGAAATGTAAACCACTTAACCTATAGCTGGGGCCAGGGCAGGAATGAATTTAAAGCCATACTGTTAGCTCACTTAGGGCATTGATCTATAATTAGAAATGTTACGACTTTTATTTTTGCTATTCCTTAAATAGCCCATCTCAGGAAAAGCTTTCAACAGTTTCTCTTGTGATGTTATTCCTTTTAGAGGCTAAGAGAAGGTTAAATTCTTTAGAGAAATAGTTTTTTACAAAATCCAGAAATAGAGCCAATCTATATTAGTAGTCCAAATATTCACCACAAAACAAAAAATTAAAAGTTGGAGATAAATTGCTATCAATTTACGACTGGGTGAAATGTAAATTCTCATTTTTGCTTAGGTCTATCACCCTTTTTACCTATGAATGTTCTAATCTATGACCAACATCAGTTCCAGGTGCCTCGTGTTGGCTTTAGCAAAGTAACATTTGCTCACAAAGTGAGTGGAGATGATGCAATACATTATTCCCCTGTGGTGGTGTAGCTCTGAGAGCCACCTGAGGCATATGGGACAGCTCAACCAAAGGCCCCTTTTCCCTCTGCTCTGGGCTGCATGATAATGGTCGTGCTATGTCAGTGTGCTAGGCAAGTGAAGTTTGCTTCCTTTGTGTTTATTTTTTAGTTGGAATCAGGAGGATGGCAAGGTAAGGTTCCATTAGATGAGGAGCTGCTGTGCTGACTGTGGTGCAGGCTTTGCTCCCAGGTTCATGCTATTTTCTGGTTTGAGTAGGAGCTAAACCAAGCAGTGGCACAGATCAGGTTCAGATACCTGCACTGGGTCCAAAGCAAGGAACAAAGTTTTCCATTTGGTACAATAATGATTTGAGCTGGCCATCAGAGAACAATATTCACCTGCACTCCTAAGGAGTCTCTAAAACATTGCTGTAATGTGGTGCATGTTAAATCTTTGCTGTGAGCATGTACCAGTTTTAAATAGTCTCCCAAACTTCTGTGCACCCTTTCAAGCAGCTGCTGCCAGTGTCAGCGGGGCTCTTGATCTGAAAATCCAGCCGTAGAAAAGAGCTGGGAGGGCAGCTGGAAGGTATTTGCTGCTAGGTATGTCCTCTCTCAAGCTGTGCTAAGTTGCCTGCTGGGTTTTAGAGAGCCTCTTCCTTGCTCTCATGAACACTCTGCACAAAATTAATCGAGGCGGCCACAGTCTGGCTAAGGGAGCTGAGCACAGCTGAGATCTGCCTGTTTGTTGTGGTTTTGTTGTTGCTAGGTTCTCGGGTTTGGGCAAGAAAGATAAATACTTCTATATCAGTTTTTATATCCAGAAAATGGCAGAGCCCAAAAAAATCGTGTGTCTTTTATTCGAGTTTAGGCAAATCCAAATAAGAAAATCATTCTGAAAAAGAAATCAGCAAGGAATTGAAGAAGATTCCTGATGTGAATCCATAATTAAAATGCTAATTGACCTGTTGAGGGGGAAAGGGAATGGCTGTTGGAAATAATAAATGTGCTGTGCCAGTGGTGCAAAAGCAGAAAAGAGCTCTCTGAAGTGACAGGCTGAATAGGAGTGGCAGAGGAATGCATTTAACCTTTCAGCTGCTTTTCCTCACTTGGGTACTAATGAAGTACCAAACTTATGAGCATTGTCACTTCCCACCCTAGTTTATCTGTGGCATCTTGTGCCCATGCCCATTTCTGAACAAAAAAAAAGCTTTCCACAGGAAGATGAGTATGGGTATGTGAGTGAACATCTGAACTGAGGGGCTTTGTACACTGGGAAATGGGAATGAGGGATCTGAGCCCCTCTAAGCCAGGAAGCCCTTTGGCCCCCAACTCTGCCAATAATTTGCACAAAGTCTCTTTGTACTGGGTGTTGGTGGAAGAAAACATGATTCTAAAAGCTAGTGGAAACCTGTGAAATGCCAGAGGTAAATCCAGACATTTTCATTCATGTAGTGATGCTAGGCAAGGAAATTATTTTAAACACGATTCCTGTACTAACAAAACCCATACTCCAAAGCCACACTAGGAGAAGGTGGTTTGGCTAATTTGTCTTATCTTTTTCTATTTTTTTCCCCCTTCCCATGAGAACAGCCAGCACTGACACAGGTTATCTGCCTAACCCAGGCAGGGATTTCAGTGGTGCTGTACTTCTGCCATCTGGGAAAACGACCAGATCTGTAGTTCCTTACAAAAATACAGCTGAATTACAACTCCTGCCTGCTGACGGTATCCCACGTGACAAGACAAGGGCATTGTGATTTAAAACTGCTAAAAAAATGAATCCAATTTGGGCAGTTTCCTGTTCTCAGAAAGTTCTTCTTAGGGAATGAAGGAAGGAGAAAGAAGTCATCCTGGAGGGGATGAAAGGTGGCCATGCCCAGGCACTGCTTCTTCAGTAGTTTTCCAGCGCTCTTCACAAAGCTCAGTTCAGTGGTTTTCTCTGTCTGTGGTGGTGGAACAGGTTTGGGGTTTTTTTTTTGTGGTTTTGATTTTTTAAAAAAAAACTAAACTTATAAACAAAGACAGTGCAACGAGTGGAAATCTCTACCTGGGCACACCCTCTTCTTGAGGAGGATAAAGAAATGTCTTTTCTGTGTGTACTTTCAGCTCTCATTCCTCACCTTCAAACTCCACCCATTGTACCCATCACTCCTAAAAGCATCATCACCAGGTCTCCTGGCACAGGTATAAAACCAGGACAGGCCAGGACACCCCTCACACTGTGTGCTACAGACATTGCCAGGCACTTCATTTTATTGAAGCAGAGGTGTGTCAGAAGCCATGATGTCAGGTAAAAGCTTCCAGGGGCTGAAGGAACAGGCTGAAGGTGCAGTAAAAGATGCTGGTAAGAAAGACTACATGTCCTTGTGTATGTGTTTTGGGGGTAGAGCTACTGCTTTCATTTTCGAGAGCCAAAATCTGAAGGTAGCCAAATCATCAGTGCTAGCATGGCACAACCTCCCCTTTTCTTTCTGTTCCTTGGGCCCAGGTTTGGAGAGGGACCCAGGTTTGGAGAGGGGCCCAGGCTGGCCACAGCTCTCAGCTTGATATGAGCAGCCACCTCCACCCACCACCAGCTCCCTCAGTGGCTGCTGCCCATCATCCAGCCCTTATCACTCCCCAAACAGAGCTTTAAACCTAGTGTTTCTAGAGCAGGAAAGCCTGGAAGTAGTCACCTTTTTTTATCTTTTCTCTTTATCTTTTTTATTTACATTGCTCAGGCTGCTCTTTTCTCCTGCTCTGCAGAGGTTTTTAAACTGCTCTCTTTTTAAGGTGGTGGAGTTAACCTGTGATTAAGGTTTGCCACTTGGCCTGACTCTCAATGCCTTCTGGTAATAACTATATTGATTGCAATGGACTGTTTGTAGCAAGTACTACAAGTATGTTTCTGTTGTATTCTTCTCCAGCAGTGGTCGCTGGATTTTGCAGGGTTTAAAAAAAAACCAAGTGCATGCATTTCTGTCATAGCTCTTCCTGTGTTGTTTGGCCAAGCACTGTATTATTATTAGCACTGTGCATTGGAAACAATTTTTTCAATACAAAGTATGATAGCTTTTCTTTTAAATGAAAACTGTCAGCATGCATACAGCTTATGCTAGCATTTCACAGTACATTCTTTACAGTGTTTGTGAGCAGCTCACTGCTAGAACAGTATAATCTGTACCAGTCCTGGATTCTGATCCTGCAAACACTTTGTTGTAGAGCTGAAATATGGGATTAAACCCACTGATTTTTTTTCAGTTACAATAAGTTTCCATACACCTGGGAACAAATGGCTAGTAGACCAAGAAACATGAGAGTTCACCTTTCTGAAAAGCAAAATAGTCCTTGTTTCATCCTGAGTCTATTCATGCCCTTGAGGGGTTGCTGCTTCTAGCAAAAGTGATTGGATGGCTATCACTCTTTCATAAACTACCAGACATCTCACTATTACACAGCATCTCACTTTTTCAGTGCTTTATACTTTGGAGTTAATCTGTTACATTTGTAGCTTCTGCTTCTCTCCTTCTTCTGTTTATATCTTCTCTGTAAAATCTCCCTTTTCCTGTCCTGCCTTGTTTAATGCACTTGCTTCCCTTTTGGAGAAGGCACTACCTCCAAATCACCCACAAAGGAAACCCATGCTGGGTGGCTAAACTTCTCCAAGGAGAATAAGCTGGAAAAATCAGTAAAAGCAAGCATGTAAAGTAAGCAACTTGCAGCTAAATGTCATCATTCAAATTCACTGCTAATCTTTGCTTCATTATCTCCTTTTTATTTTATCTTCTTATCTCTCATAGATTTGCTCAGCTGCCCATAGGTGCTAGGTGAATGCCCATCTCATAGCAAGCTGCTCTGGCAACACACAGAGTTCCCAGGCTGCCTGCAAGCAGGACACAGCCTCAGCCTGCTCCATACCAGCCTTATCTCTTGTGAGGGGCATTAACCTCCTGGGGACATGCAGGAAAGCTGATTGGCATCTGGAATTCCTATAAACATAAATGTGAACATCTGGAAATGAATTTTTTTTTTTTTTTTTGTCCTTAATTACAGCAAGCACACTGGGACATGCTACTCAGGATGCAGCCAACCAAATTACAGATGCAAGCCAGAAAGGTAGGAGCAATGTCATTCAAATCAAGAAGCAACAGAGCAGCTCAATACCACAAGCCAGCAGCAGTTTGTGGTCATTCCTCTCTGTCCCACGGGTCTTCTCAGCCTCAAAGCCCTTGGTTTTAGTGACAGTTTTTGGCCTCTTACAAATCTCATGGGACAGGATTTCAGGGTCTGTTCCTTCATGGGTCCATATATTTACTGGCAGATGTACCACAATAGCTGACGTGTCCCGTGCGTGACACCCAGATTTTGGCTTCCTTTACAGCAAACTGGTGGGAACAGCACAGGAAAAAAACGTTGCTGCTTTTCCAAGAGGATTAAGTAACCCTGTAACACGTCTCTCTTCCCCAGTTCAGAGGGCAGGGGTCCATCCAGGTGCAGCCCCAGGCTGGCCCCAAACACCTGCTGAGGCAGCAGCCAGGGTCAAACATTAATGATTCGACAGCTGGAAAGGTGCCACCAGGAAAGTGTTGGCATCGTGTTTCTGGGGACTTGGAACAGGTTAAACTAAAAACTAAGCTTAGTACTCACGGATTGTAATGATTTCCTAAGAATGAGAGGAGAATTAGCAACTTTAGGTTCAAGAATGTTTAATGAAAGCCAAAACGCTTTGACAACATCTTCTTAGAGCAGACACCCTCTACATCTCCATGATGTGATGAGAAGGCAGGACTTGGGCATTTGTTGATGTTAGGTGAGGAGGAAGAAATATTGCCAAAATATAGTCAAGGTCCCAGAGAAGAGAAAGAGACTGTGCCCTATTTGTGAGG